ATATTTCCCATGTATGGTCCCTCATTTCATCAGATGCTTAGGTTCTTCACACTGTGAAAGGGTAGGGTATAGACATCCTTTCTCTACCTAGTCATCAAGGGGGGGAAAAGGGTAGGGTATAGACATCCTTTCTATACCTACCCATCAAGGGGGGGAAAAAAATTCCCAACGAGACGCAGACCTTACGAGAAAATAAAATAACTGATTCGCAAACAGGCCATCGTAAGAATTCTGGCTTGTATCCTGGGTTACTTGAGCAACCTTTTCCTGGTTCCCAAAAAAGGCGAAGGTGTCCGTCCATTGATAGATTTGAGACAGCTCAACGGTTATGAGGCAAATCAGCACCTCCAAAATGGAAGGAGTGGATTGCTTAAGGGATCTTCTCCAACCAGTAGATTGGATAGCCAAATTGGATCTTCACCATGCTTATGAAACCTATGGTCTTATAATATATTTAGACAGCATTTTCATTCTGGCTCAGTCTATTCAATTAATCTGGACCCACCTTGCATGGCCTTTGACTCTGTTAGAGAACCTAGGCTTCCTGATAAATTGGGAGAAATCCATTATTGTTCCCACACAATGAATCAAATCTCTAGGTTATATTGAGCTACTATAGATTCTACCCTTCAAACTCTACACCTTCCAGTGGCAAAATTAACCAATATCAAGAAGGAAATAGGCGAACACTGGTAACCTCTCAACTCTCTCTCAAACAACTGTCGAGAATGATAGACCTTCTAGCGGCATCTATACAGGCCATTTTTCCAGGTCCTTTTGGCTATCGAAACCTACAACAATTACAAGCTTCAACTCAAGGGCAGCACATCATACACGGATATGGTAACTCTGAACTGAGAAGCGAAGGATGAACTCCAGTGGTGGCTTCTTCACATGGAAGCTTGGGATGAACACACCATATTCTGTACAGCTTCAGATTTGATAATCTAATCCAAGTTTGCTCAATGTTTGGCAAGGGCTGCTCTGTATGAACGCAACAAGAATTTGTAGTGGAGGAAATCTGACTGGGTGTGTGACTTCCTCCAGAATCTCTGCAGGTAGCGAGTTGATTTAGTGTGCCACGGTTAAGGATGTCTTCTCCTCAAGGTGCATGACACGGAGGCGAGTATTATACCTCCATCCCATCCCTGGAGGTTTGGCCTTCTCTGGGAAAGTTGACTTTGCGGTAAGTCTTTTTTGATTACTGGGTTTTATCCTTGTTAATGACTGTCAAGAGCTTAAAGGAACACTATAGTCACCTAAATTACTTTAGCTAAATAAAGCAGTTTTAGTGTATAGATCATTCCCCTGCAATTTCACTGCTCAATTCACTGTCATTTAGGAGTTAAATCACTTTGTTTCTGTTTATGCAGCCCTAGCCACACCTCCCCTGGCTATGATTGACAGAGCCTGCATGAAAAAACTGGTTTCACTTTCAAACAGATGTAATTTACCTTAAATAATTGTATCTCAATCTCTAAATTGAACTTTAATCACATACAGGAGGCTCTTGCAGGGTCTAGCAAGCTATTAACATAGCAGGGGATAAGAAAATCTTAATTAAACAGAACTTGCAATAAGGAAAGCCTAAATAGGGCTCTCTTTACAGGAAGTGTTTATGGAAGGCTGTGCAAGTCACATGCAGGGAGGTGTGACTAGGGTTCATAAACAAAGGGATTTAACTCCTAAATGGCAGAGGATTGAGCAGTGAGGCTGCAGGGGCATGTTCTATACACCAAAACTGATTCATTAAGCTAAAGTTTTTCAGGTGACTATAGTGTCCCTTTAAGGTTTGACTAAACCGAATTTCATGTTATGTATATATATCTGATATTCCATGTAATGGATACTTGGATATTACCATATTCTCCTTCTCTTCCAGCTTGACTTCGAACTCCAGGTTAAGGCTCGCATACCCTCTAATTGGAGGCCCACTTTCATTTGGATTTGTTGTCCTTGTTTGGGATCGCAAGAAAGAGGAAGTCCTATACTGGACACCGCCTATTATGCTATGAAGAGGATGCTGATTGGCTGTTCCTGTTGCTAGGAAGATAAACCTCTCATGTTATTTACTGGTTTCTTTTATACTGATTTAATGTTTAATTTTCTTTGCTGCTGAGGGAAATAAAGAAAGAGTGCAGCATATTACTCGCCTCCGTGTCATTAATAAAATTATGACTTTACATCATGTAAATAGTAAAATCTGTGAATTCTGGATTCCACCACAAAATTACCAGGAAAGGACAATGTCCACTCATCAGTCCGCGATCTGAAGCTGAAACAGAATTGGGTTATACACCAGGAAAACTTTTTTTTTGAAAAAAAGTCCACCTCACAATGACTTAGAAGAAAAAAATTAAGTTTTTTTTGAGCAGCCTTCGACAAGCTGTTTGTGTTCGTAAACCCTCAAAGTGAATTACAGCATACAACATGGATGAGTGGCCCAGAATTCCTCCACCACAATGTGAGACATCTCCAATTATGGAAACACTTGTCTGCAGTTGTTACCACTAAATGTGAAACAAGCAGTTATTCATTTTCAGAGGAAAATACTTTATCAGTGCAGGGTGGTGTTGGACGACCATTTCCTTATGCAAGTACTGCAGTAACCACAACCACCTCATCACAATGAAGTGGTTATAATGCCTGGAGTCCCCTCAGGCCAGCCTACCTTCCAGTGTTCAGACCCCATAGACAAGAATAACAGGTACTTGATTTGTGGAGCCTTCTTCTTGTCGGTGAATAGTTTGTGAGAATATTAAAGATCTTTTATATTTATATATTAAATTATTTGAAATCTCTTATAATTTTAACCCTTTATTAAATATTGGGGGGATAGGAGAAAGCTGAAATTCTTGCAGCGTTTTGTGCTATCTCCAGTTCAGAGAGCAGTCATTACTCCTTCCATGCTCTGCTGTTTCACATTCCTCATGAAGAGGCTCGTTCAGTATGGGATGTTGTTTGCGAAATCTGCGTGATAATGGGGCGCTGCGGGAGGCCAACCTTGGGATTAGTCACCGTGGTGAATTACTGAGCAAACAGTAGCTAACTAACAAGAATCAATATGAGAACAATACCCTCAGTGTCCCTCGCAGTGTGCCAGGGACCCCGTTTCTCAAGGGGTAAAGAGGGGTCGCTTCTACAGAGTGGGTCCGGTCCTGCAAGAAAGCGGGGCTGGAATGATGGAATAGTCAATATTCGGAGTGCAGGAAGCACAGGGGTTCACTCCCCAGCAGTGATTTGTAAATTAGAAACTGAAACACATAACTTGCAACAAAATAACTGCTTTTGAAAACTCACCTCCACTTGCAGCTTGCCCATTGTAACCTTCATTTTGCAATTAACCCCTTAGTCACCAGACCGTTTTTCAATTTTCTTACCGTTAAGGACCAGGGCTGTGTTTACATTTCTGAGGTGTTTGTGTTCAGCTGTAATTTTCCTCTTACTCAATTACTGTACCCACACATATTATATACTGGTTTTCTCGCCATTAAATGGTCTTTCTAAAGATACCATTATTTTTATTAAATCATATAGTTTACAAAAAAAATAAATTAGAAAATATGATGAAATAATTGAAAAAAAACCACACCTTTTCTAACTTTGACTCCTAAAATCTGTTACGCATCTACAACTGCCAAAAAACACCTATGCTCAATAGTTTATACATTTTGTCCTGATTTTAGAAATACCCAATGTTTAAAATATGTATATTTTAAAATGTATCAATAGTGACATTGTAACACTGATATCTGTCATAAATCTCTGAATCACATCTTACATGTACATATTTTTTTTAAAGTAGACAACCCAGGGTATTCAATATGGGGTATGTCCAGTCTTTTTTAGTAGTCACAAACACTGGCCAAAGTTAGCATTTATATTTGTTTGTGTGTTAAAAATGCAAAAAACGCTAACTTTGGCCAGTGTTTGTGACTAAGTGGCTACTGAAAAAGGCTGAACATACCCCATTTGCAATACCTTGGGTTGTCTTCTTTTGCAAATAGTATGCCATCATGGGGGTAATTCTCATTCCTGGGCTACCATAGGCTCTCAAAGGCAACATAACCAACCTGGCAAATTCCACTGTGAAAAAACTGAAAATCGTGACACTTCGCTGAACACAAATATGAGTGTTTCAAAACAGTAAAACGTATCACAACAATACCATCAGCGAAAGTGCTGTTTGTGTGTGAAAAATGCAAAAACATCACTTTCACTAATAATATCATCACTGTGATCTGTTTTACTGTTTTGAATCACTAATATTTGTATTCAGCGAAGTCTCCCGAGTAAAACAGTACCCCCCCCATGTACAGGTTTTAGAGTGTCATAGAACGTTACAGTGTTAAATACAGTGCTTGCAAATTAAATTCTCTGGACTTTCATAAATATGCACGTAGAACTTAGATATATATACATATTTATATATTTTAAGTCTCCGTGTATATTTATGAAATTATTTATGTAATTATGTATATGGATATAGATCTATTTATTTATTTATTTATTTTATTAACTTTTTTTTTTTTCATTATTTTACAGATGCAGGGAGACTGCCTGTCAGTTTAGGCAGTCCCCCTGCAGGCAGCACTATGGACGCCTGTTGCGGCAATGTGATCGCTCTTTTAGGGCCTAAGGAGGAAAGGCACCAGTGACAATAATCACGTCAATCGTTACACTGAGAATTGGCGGTCTTGCCCATGAAAGGGGTGGGATCACCCACTGACAGGAGTGTCAGTCTGTCGTGAAACGTGTTCAGCTGAATGACAGCATGTCTAGCCATGCTCCAACCCATTAGTCACTCTCTGCAAGATCCTAGTGACTGTTCCCAGAGCGTGTCTAGAAGTGCCCTCACGTTGTCTGAATCCAGGGACAATAGTGAACAAAATGAGATGTCAGTACAGGACCCCGAAATAGAGACTGTCTTGCTAATATTGGGACTGTTGGGAGGTCTGACATTGTAATATGCCACACCTCACTCCTGGGACTGGATGGTCCAAATGCTTGAAAACTGGTGGCAGTCCATAGCACAATGAAAGAAGGAATCTCCTAAGTTTTCCTAACCCTATAAACTCACTATAAGCCCCCTAACTCCATAAACCCCTATACCTACATCATGGGACGCTCTGCTGTGACTTGCGCCATTATAGCACTGACCAGCGCTTTACAATAAAAGGGGAATTTACCAAATGAGACAATAACAAAATGTAACAGGAACAATAGGTAGCTGAGGACCCTGCTAAACGAGCTTACAGTCTAGAGGAGGTGGGGTATAAAAACACAAAATGAAGGGTATTGAGAGAGACAGCAAACAGACATGGTGGGAAAGTAGCAGAGCTGGAAGTGAGAGTGGAGCTCATCAGGAGAGATCAAGAGGAGGGTTTGAGAGATAGAAGTTACTCTTGGAGGCCATAAGCATTCCAGAAAAGATGGGTTTTAAGGGACTTCTTAAAGGATTGAAGACTAGGGGAGAGTCTGACAGGGGTAGGCAGGCTGTTCCAAATGAAAGGAGCTGCCCGTGAGAAGTCCTGCTGGCGTGAATTTGCAGTAAGGGTGTGAGCAGCAGAAAGGAGCGGAGAGACCGAGAGGGGGCATACCTATGAATCAGTGAAGAAATGTAAGAGGGGCTAGAATTGGTTAGGGTTTTATAGGTAAGGGTTAATATTTTAAATTGACTGTAGGGTACAGGAGGCCAGTGTAAGGATCGACAGAGGGATGAGGTGTGAGAGGAGAGACAGGAGAGAAAGATCAGCCTGGCAGCAGCATTCACCACAGATTGTAGGGGGGCAGTACGGCTTCTGGGGAGACAAATTAGGAAGGAATTACAGTAATCGAAGAGAGATTACTAGGGCCTGGACAAGCTCCATGGCAGCATCTTGCGTAAGAAAGGGGCGGATGTGGGCAATGTTTTTAAGTTGGAATCGACAGGCTTTAGAAACAGACTGGGCATGAGACGCAAAGGTGAGGCCAGGATCAAAAATGACACCAAGACAGTGAGCTTGAAAGGATGGCGTCAACCTGCAGGCAGAGTAATCATGGCTAGCGTCTTCTTATAATAGCTGATCCACGGATTTCCCCTTAAGCTTTAGAAATCAAATATAAAGTACCCGGGTCATGCTCGGAAGAATCATTTAAAAATTTAAGGCCAATGTAGTCAGCGTAGAATAATACTCCAATTCAGATAGACTCATTTGTGAAAAAAAAATGATGGGTGTCAAACACCCTGACAAATATGTACAATGCAATTAAGTTATAGGAAACAAATAATAATTAGCATAGAAGACAAAACCTTAATAGACTAATCCAAGCTAGTTGTTAACCCATGTTAATTTTACCATATATGGGTAAAGATCTACTGGTTCTTACTGCCACCCCGTCCACTTCTTAAAAAACACAAAAACAAACTTATAAAAAAAGGCAAAAACTTTGGCTCCAACAGAACCTGCCACAACGTCAAGCGCACAACCCTCACAGGAACCCTGGGACCCTGCTACTGCCTCCATATTTGTTCCGAGAGCCAGCAGCTCACAGACTACTGTGTCATGACTGTGGACGTAACTTTCCCCAGCAGGGCCCTGCTGAACACCAGTATTAGCTGTTACAACTCATACCATTAATACTGTTAGTTTATGCCTTATAAAAGTTTCTCGCAAAGGTTCAACTGTTACCCTTCGCTTATACTTATGGCCCATGCGGACAGCTGGACCCAAGCCCCATTGCAACTACAAGATCTACAGAATAGAAAATGAATTTAAATGTAAAAAAAAAAAATTTGGAATATAAGTTGTCCAAGACCTCTGACTCGTGCCCCAAGGCGTCTGAATTGACCCCTCACCCTCCCCCGCCAACCCTCTTGGTTAGAGTTCTATCTGAAGCTCTCCCAACTTTTTTGTCACATTGTGTCATCCATTTTGGGTCCCGAGTCCAATCAAATGCTTCTCATAGAAAACATTGCTGGACTTTGGACACATGCAAACGAAGTGTTGTGATCCGAAGTGGAAACGAGGGTGGAAGCTTGGCAGCAGGGCGATGTGGAGGGGTGGACAGCGGGAGTTATGGAGAGCTGGACAGCGGGGGTTGTACAGAGGGAATTGTGGAGGGCTGGGCTGATGGTGTTGTGGAGGGCTGGACAGATGGTGTTGTGGAGGGATGGACAGCGGGAGTTATGGAGAGCTGGACAGCAGGAATTATGGAGGGCTGGACAGCGGGGGTTATGGAGGGCTGGGCAGCGTGGGTTATGGAGGGCTGGGCAGCGAGGGTTATGGAGGGCAGGGCAGCGGGGGTTATGGAGGGCTGGACAGCAGGGGTTATGGAGGGCTGGACAGCGGGGGTTGTGTAGGGCTGGACAGTGGGTGCTGGGGAGGGCTGGAAAGCAGGATTTGGGGAGGGCTGAAAAGCGGAAGTTGGGGAGCGCTGAATAGAGGGAACTATGGAGGACTGGACTGCGGGAGTTATGGAGGGCTGGACAGAGTGTGATATGGAGAGTTGGACAGCAGGAGTCGTGGAGGGCTGGACAGAGGAAACTCTCTCCACTTTTTCGTCACATTGTGTCATCAATTTTTGATACCAGGTCAAACGCTTCTCATATAAAACATTGTTGGACTTTGTTTGGGGGGTTCTGGAGGGCTGGACAGAGGGAGTTATGGAGGGCTGGACAACAGGTGTTATGGAGGGCTGGTCAGCGGGAGTCGTGGAGGGCTAGACTAGGAGTAATGGTGAGCTGGACCGCGGGAGTTATGGTGGGCTGGACAGCGGGGGTTATGGAGGGCTGGACAGCAGGAGTTGTGGAAGGCTAGACTGTACGAGTTATGGTGAATTGGACTGCAAGAGTTATGGTGGGCTGGACTGCAGGAGTCGTGGAGGGCTAGACTGTAGGAATTATGGTGGACTGGACTGCGGGGGTTGTGTGTAATGGATCAATAGGCACCCCGACTGGGTACCTCTGTTGAAGGATGCTCTTAGCGCTTCCTGAGGGCTCCAAGCACTCCAGCCGACACCATAGACTCCTCAAGGCAGGAACAAGCTCTTACAAGAGTTTAGTAGCGATTTAGCAAGGGAGTATGACAAGCACAGCAATCCCCTGTAGCAGATTCTCCCAATAAGAGACAGCACTTCAAATTGAGAATGAAGTAGAATTGTCTAAAACTTTATTTTACTTGGGACTAGCCCATATGGTCATTACATTACCATTGCTGTGAAAACTCAATAAAATTACAACCAGTCAAATCATAGCAGGCAATATACAGTGACTTATTATAACATAATTACATATTTATAAATGGATGGGGAAGACCATAATTAACACAAAATGTCTCTCCTGCATGCAGAATTAGCGATATGCAAAGCTACCCAAATATGCAAATTACCAGTCTTGCTATTCAGGTAGTGCATATTACTGTTGCTACCAACAGAGGGCACTACACAAGCTCCATAGCCAAATCCACCTAGTTAGTAGCAATCCTCAGCAGTACAGGAGAGCAGGCAATACATCCCAGGGGCCATAGTCACAGGGCACGAGGCTGGCAATCAGTCTTCTCCAGTGACCAGTGGCGAGGCTGGTTCCACCACATTGTGACAGGCTTGACAGAGGTAGTTATGGTGGGCTGGATAGCGGGAGTTATGGTGGGCTGGATTGTGGGAGTTATGGAGGGCTAGACTGCGGGAGTCGTGGAGACTGTAGGAGTTATGGTGAGTTGGACTGTGGGAGTTATGGTTGGCTGGACTGCGGGAGTTGTGGCAGGATAGCAGGAGTTATGTAGTAACCTTTAAAGTATAAGTGACACAGTCAGTTCAGATAAACAATTTCATCCTAAAATTTGTGAATACCCTGAGAGAAGTGAGACTTGTGAATCAACCAATCCGAGCACTGCAATGAGAATTCAAAGCATGGGAAAGGCCAATGGAACAAATTTGGAGGGTTGGAGACTTTCAGTCCCTTATATATTAGTATTAGAGCCCTCACACACTACCAATGGGTGGTGGCTGGGGGGCACTAGTTGCCTCTTTTTGTATATTATAATTATATCCTGCATGCCGCCCATGAGTGGGTGCTGGGACAAACACTTGGTCTCCCCTTGTATGTAAAAATGTGGCCCTCACCTGCCAACTATTGTTGGTGGCTGCGGGGGACACAAGGCTGCCCTGATTTAGTAAATAGCATGATGAGGGCAGGAGGGGACTGTGAGTGGATGGTTTTACCCTGTTTGGTACAGAGCCATTTGGACTTCAGTGACTTTAGCCCTGACAGACTCATTATTGGGGATTAGAATGCGTATTAATTACATTGTTCTTCTCTCAGGCAGACTGATACCAGATCGTTCTATTCCACTCTCTGTGGCCTCTGCCGAGAACCTGAAATTACACCAGATTACGCCAATAATGGGCTTTGTATGGGCAGGAAGCAGAGCCGAGCTATTAGTAAGGATTTTACTGAATCCTTCCTTTATATCGGACATTAAAAACAGTCAGAAACGAAATAAATACGTGAATGTCATCAATTAAACAGCACTAATTTTAACTATTTCTAAAGAGAGAGTACTGGTACTTCTTGAGATTGCAGGGCCTGGCTTTACCTTATTTCCATAAATTAAACTATAAGCTTTTTTTTATTTAGATTTTTCCCTGTTTAACTTACACCTTCCCTACCCCATTCAATAATCATATATAACTAATAAAGTAACGTATTAAAGTGAAACATTATGTCCAAGAATGCATAAATGTTTAATGCACATAATTAACACTTGACAGAAACAGATGCATTTGCTAAAATGTTCACCATCATTTTCTAAGTCATTAAAACATTTATTATCTGAGTAACTGACCTCTGCAACTAATGAAGATCCACCCCTGTTTTGCCCAGCACTTACTTCCTTGTTAGATTGAAATTGTGATGGAACTTTCGTACTCAGACTAAGTTTATAAAGACACTTGTTGCTCTCAGGCCAAGCTCTTTTTTAACTTGTCTTGAGATACAGGGACCAAGCAACATATCTGGAGATTCTGCTACTGGGATCCCCAAATAAATAACCAGAACACCCCATTCAAAGACACTAACACACAATTCTAGCCTTTGGGGACTAGTTTTTAAACATGATGTGACAGACATTTAACATACAAATATATAGCACATAAGAGAACAAGCAAATATATTTAATACATGAACGATATAATACAAGTAACATTTTCAAACACAACAAAAAGCAACAATATATACATTTAACTACTCATTTGGTTACCCTAATTTGCATACCAGCATTATGTACATGTACACACTTCTATTCAGTCAGCAGAGGGCGCTGCAGAGTTATCAAGTAACAATGAATAGTATGTTTTTCAATTGCTTCCATCACAACCCTCTTTCAGGGGCTCTTGGGACCAGATCCATAGTCTGTGGCCAAGACAAGAGGCTGACCTTGAAGCCATTCCAAAAGGCCACTGTGACGAACGCCACTTGGCCTGGACGTTCGCCACGGCCTCTTGGAGGAGTGTGGAAGCTAGCCTTCTGCCCACTGACTATGGTCCATGGAAAAGGCTTACAAACAGACTTAGTTCGTGGGATTTATGTGTACTTTTCGGGAACCGAACCAACTCATGAACTGCGGACTACCTCTGGGCTTGTTAACCCCTAGTAACCTCTCCTGACACTTCAATTATCGTGTGTTCTAATTGTGTGGATCGGTGGCCGCCGTTCATATGCCCGAACACGTGGGAACTGTGTTTGCGGCCATCTTGTTAGCTGGAATGCAGGCAGCGGTGTTTGGGCATCGATCACATGGAACTAAAATCGGCCTGATTCCTTCACACAAATGTCAGGGGGGCGCCGTTCGGTAGGTTTGTTCGTATGAACCATACGAACAAACGCTACTTAATAGCCATAGTGTGTTTGCGGTATTTATTTCGCATTGAAGTTGACCAGCAAAAGCACAAAACGGGACCATGTGTACGGCCGGTCAGAACTTTATCCGGTGGCGTTTTGGCTGTGTTCGTGGGATCTGAGTGCTTTTCTGATATGTTGGGCGCTCAGATCCAGACTATCCGTGATGTATAAACTATAGGGGGTACTATGTGGGAAATATGTGATTTTGTGTGTTTTTCATATTTTGTCATTTATCGCAGAGTCATGGTGACATTGCATTTTGGGGACATTTTGTGGGTGTGTTTATGGGAGTGTCATGGGCGTGTTTACTGTGTCTTTGTATTGTATATAAGTGGGCCATTGAGCCCTGATTAAACACATACGTTTCTACCCTTCATCAAGTCTAGGCTGATTTTTGGGAAATTGGGAGCTATAATCACTGCTTCACTTGGGATTTGGGAGAACTACAGCGGACATACTCAGTCGGAGTCAGTAGCGTACACACGATCCATCACTGCTATGTTTCACTGAGGGTTAATCCGGCCTCTAGTAGCTGTCTCACTGACAGCCGCTAGAGGCGCTTCTGCGACGTTGAATGTGAAACTCACAGTGAGAAGACGCTGCATGTCCATAGGGGTTTTAACCCCTTCAGCCCAGCAGGAGGAGGGCCACAAGGGTGGGGGACCTAAGGACTATATAGTGCCAGGAAAACTAGTTTGTTTTCCTGGCACTATAGTGGTCCTTTAATGGCAAACATTCAGATACACATGCAGACCAAGAGATACACATACAGGCACACACACACACACACACACATGCAGACACACACACACTCATTGTGATAGACCCACATACACTCTCACTAACAAACACACACTCACTAACAGACAAGCATATACACTCTCACGAACAGATGCATACACTAGCTAACAGACACACACATTTACTGACAGACACACATTCAGTGACAGACATACATACACACTGATTGATACATACACTCACACTCACTTACAAAACATACATTTTCACTGACAAACACACACTCACTAGCAGACACCAAACAGACTCACTAACAGACACACATTCAATAACAGACACACACAAACACACTCAGTAACAGACACACACAGAGTAACACACTCACTGACACACACACAGACTCACATTTTTTTTTTAAATTTAATCCACCAGCCTCCCTACCTTTGGGAGTGCTGAGGAGATTCCAGCTTTCCCTGGGATCCAGTGGGGCTGCTGGGCGGCCGGTCACCGCAGGCGATCCTCCTGTTCAGCTCCCTCGCGCGCTGATGCCGGAGCCAGAGTGAAGTCATATTCTGGCTCCGACATCACTGCGGAACAGAGAGAGCTCAGGGGAAAATGTTCCCTCGCGCGCGCACCCGCCAAGTGACCCCACTGCCAGCCTCGGGAGGCCCTGAGGTGGCCAGCTCCTGGGTCCCCCAGGAGAAGAGGCTGGCAAAATGCAACTGTGACCGCACTGGTGTACATACCCGGGTCGCAGGGCAGCTGGGCCCCCTGCAACTGCGGTATGTACGCCAGTGGTCGGAGTATAGGGGATCCGTTACAGCCATGGCATGGGGGTTTCTATCACAGAGATCAAGTCTCCATACCAAACCTTCTCATAGACAAAGCTGGCTTAAGGTTTCCCAGGCCCAGAGGCAGTGTTTCAGATTGGGGCCCCGTCCTAGACCCCTTGGTTCTGTTTCTGTGAGTGTTGTATGCATGTATGTATGTGTGTGTGTGTGTAGTGTTTGAGTGTGGACGAGGCTGATATGTGTAGGAGGGTGCTTAGTGTGCCTGTGTGTTCTTAGGTGTTGTTTGTGTGTGTAGTGTTTGAAGGTGTGTGTGCCCCCTCCCTTTGCAGGTCACTTTGAGAGATTCCTTGTAGTTCTAGTGGCCTGTTAATGACTCAGAGCACTAGCTGCAGCACTCTGAGTCATTAAGGTGGTCAGAGCCTGATATTGGTCTTTTTTATCACTGCCATCTCAAGGAGGGCCCATGCCTGATCGCTGCCCGAGGTGGGCATCCTGGCCACCAAATGGGATATCCAACTCTGCTCACAAAGCTGATCAGTGTTAATGAGATTTTGGGATTTATATATAATAAAATTATACTATTGTGCTGTGTTAGTTTATATGCCATTTATTTATTTTTTATTCTGCATTTAAAGACAGTTTCACATAAAAGTACATTCATTAACACATATGTATGAAAAATGCCAAACACTAAAACTTAAATATCCATAGAAATCATCAGGGATATGTAGGAAAGGCCAGCACGTTAATTGCCAAGAGTCCTCTTCTGGCTGGATTAGAACATTCAGGAGAAAGATGACGCCACCAATAGGATCTTCGACAACAGAGCAATATCTTGTAATGACCATGCATAGATAATTCTGGAAACTCTGGCTGAAGAAATGAGCTCTTGGATACCGAGGGGAAGAAAAGCGGGGTGCAACTTGTTAAAAACATTTATTTAGTAGATTGAATATATCTGAAATCGTTCATCCCAGGCCACAATTTCTTTATTTTTTACCCAATTTATCATATGGAACATCAACATGCTGTACAATAGGTATAAAGCCTGCTTTCATTATCCATTACTTGGAGAAGAATTCAAAATAACAAATGCAAACATTTTCTGTATACAAAATATATTTATATTTTAGTTTATTGAAATATATTAGTGAACAAATAGCATCATAGTAGAAATAATATCATCAGTGTACACTAGTGAAACAATAATGTAATATTGTGCAAAGTATCACCTTATTATGTACAGGGAACAACGGAACACATGGTGATCCAGTTATTGAGGAATACGCACAAGGGAAAGAGAGAAAAAGTGGAGGGAGATCGACAGACAGAGAGCGAAAAGGAAGAAGGAACGAGAAATAAAAATAAAAAAAGAGTGGGGGATGGAAGGAGGAGAAGAATAGGTGATATTAAAGGAGAAGCAGATCACTATGAAGGTGCTCAAGAGGTATCTACATCTCTGATAGACCCGAAGCGCTGGTCAAAAGCAAAAAGAAAATGTTCAGTTAGGCTGAGTAAAGGTAGGGGATTCAAAGCGGGTGTAGGACTGGTTGAGTTGGCCCCAGTTGACATGGCGGTCAGTCACTGCGTTCAGTGAAACCAAATGGCAATAAACTTCTAGTAATTATCTGATACAGACAATATCTGCTCCTACATGGAGAGTAATTCCTCACCCCTCCCGATCCAGTCTCAGACTTTGGGGACCATCCTAGGGCGCTTCCAGGAACTCAGGGTGAGACAGAGAGCTGTGTTAATACGAAATGGAAGGATAGTCTTATAATATCATCCAAATGGCGCTGGGAGAGAACGGAACGGGAAGTCTTTAGGAGAGAAAGTGATGGCTATGTCAGTGAAAGTGATAAGGATTGAGTGTATGGATTGTCAGAGAGGCTGGATAAGGGCATATGGCGAACAAATGTGAGAGAGTGTTCCAAGATCGAGCTCACAGCATTCAGGGTCATTGTCTGAATAGAAAGCAATTAACCTCTCGGGAGTACTGAGTTATTGGATGAATAACTCGTATCCAAATTCCTGATACCCGCTGCTAATTGGTTACTTATTAGGGATCGTGAAACGATTGATCCAATGGTAAAATGTGAAAGAGAGTCCAAGATAACGCTCCTAATATTTAGTGAATAACGAGATAGAAGCATCATCCGGGTTCAAATGAGTACATAATGATTTTAAAACGTAAGCATGCCGCCCACCCAGGGACCTGAACTCCTGGGAGACTGTATACCTGCTTGCAAAGTATTATGCCAGGAACTGTTACAAGTTGCTCATAATTAGTTCTATTTAATTATATGATAACTCTCTCACACACAAGAGTCCCCCACGGAGGACCTAACACCTCCCGACTAACAGCACCTGGAAAAAGGGCGCTACATGGCAGGTGCTCAGCTCCACACCAGCCAGCTCTTCCCCCCCCACCCCCCTGCCACTCCCTAGGTAAGGGGTACCACCTATGGCGGGCCAGTTCACCCACCCTTCACAACCACACTACACACTATAATAGGATAGTTCTAAACTGAACAGCCCGAACCGACACATCCCTATCACCGATCTAGATTCAGTACCATGCAATACTAAACTACACGCTCGCAGCCACCTCTACAAACCATCCCTGATACACTACAACACACAAGTTCAAACAATTTTAAAAAAAAGTGCAAGACAATTACTGTTATAACTGTTTTAACCATGCAAATGCTTTATGTTGGTCAAACCCTGCTGCAGCTGTTGGGGCGCAGCGGAGTAATATGTTGGTTGTTATCTATAATATGCACAACAAAAATAAAGAATTAAAAATAACAAAAAACGTAAGCATGCTATCAGCGATGGAGAGCTCCATTACATGTGAGTTAAAATGGTAGAATTGGTGATGTCAGAGCACTAGCACCAGCAGGGTAAACTGAAGTATCTCATACTCTGACAGTCATTGCGCCATTAGCACACACATCTAAAACGCGGATGAGAGAAGGGAGACCTAGTGAGGCATCCCAGCTTTCAGACATGGCAGTGGAGGTTTGGGATTGCAAGATTACGGGGTTCTTTATATATTTTCTATTCCTGTTATTTAAGTTACAGTTATAATCTCTAAGAGATTTATACAAGTGCACAGCTGCTGCATTTAATTTTTTTCTGATATTTTTTTAAATAGCGTTTTATCACATCGCGCGCTGTCAGAGATACCACAGCAGCTTGCTCAGTGCTGATTAACATGTTTCCTTTTTGGATGAGATAAAGCGAGATAAAGAGATTTGTCGAAGAGTTCTGAATAGTGTCCCATTTGTAGGGGGACAAAGATCTGTTCCAATTCATTAACGTGTCTCAGAAGTCTCAGCTTTCTTCTTTGTACATTTATGTACATGTATAAGTTCAGAATTTTGTTCCTCCACAATTATATCCCAGAATATTCTTTAAGAATTCTGCCTTGCATAATATATTACAAGATAAAAGTACTGAAAGAAAATAC